AAAAAAAAAAAAAAAAAAAAAAAAAAAAAAAAAAAAAAAAAAAAAAAAAATATATATATATATATATATATATATATATATATATATATATATATATACATTCCGAATTATTATTTAATCCACTTCATCGTGCTTAGATTAACAATTAACAAACGAACATCGAGTTTAAAGTTTAGGTGAAGATGATGAATGAAGAAAGAAAATAAATTTTTTATTAAAAAAAAAAAGCTCTACATTTTGTTTTTGTCTATAAATTTTTTTTAAAATTTAATAATGCCATTAAACTTAATAATAATAATAAATAAATAAATAAATAAAAACTTAAAAATTATTAACCGATATTTTTTATTTTTTTATTTCTAAAAAGGTTGGTTTCTTTTTAAGTTTTTGAAAAAAAAATTTAAAGCATTGATCAAACTTTTTAAGTGAAGTTATTTTAAAAATCCTTTTAAAAGTTCAAATGCATTATTTAAACAAAATATTAATCATTTCCTTTTAAAATGGTTCAGTATTTTTAAACTTTTTTTAAACATTTTTTAATATTTAATAGTATTCTTGAAGCTTTTGATTTTTATTAATTTAAAAAATTAAAAAAAAAATTCATAAGGCATATATTTGTAATAAAAAATTATTTATCCTGTTAGCTAACTAAAAAGAAAAAACTGACAGATTGCACTCAATCACAGTTATTATTAATATTTTACTTGACCAAGAGAATCAAAAATTGCATAATACCAGGAACGTCCCTCCTGCACGAAGCACGAAAGGTGTAACGATCTGTACATCGTAAAGAGATAATTATAATGTATGGTCTGCCGAGCACCGCGTTAGAGCTGATTGTTCTTGGTATCATCATAGGCATTTTAATTATAATGTAATGTAAGGCTAATAACATACCACTAGTATGTAACATTATTAGGCAGGTTTCGGATTACGTTGTTCTTCAATCCGACTTTGGTACGCATGGCTTCCAATCCAGTTCGATTAATTTCTTTCATCACCTTCATCCTGATCGTCCTCTCCCTCGACTGGACAGTTGCCAATCCCATGCTCTTGTACCTGCATACCAAAATGGTAATCTCTCATCAAACTTGTTGTTCAGTGCATATTCAAATCGACAATAGTAGTTGATCGTGATATTCTTTTGTGGGTTCGTATTTTTTTACCAATGAAAGCTTAATTTCTTAAAAAATATGGAAAAAAAAGGCGTCGCTCGAGTATGGAGGGAGTTTTGCTTCTTTTCACCCAGCATATTCAGACAAGAAAGACTCTTTGGCGTGTAGGTATCGTGCATGTGAGATCCCACATCGTTGGAGATGAGAACGAAGCATTCCTTATAAGGGTATGGAAACCACTCCCTAGTTGACGCATTTTAAAACCTCGAGGAAAAGCCTTGAAGGGAAAGCCCAAAGAGGACAATATCTGCTAGCGGTAGGTTTGAGCTGTTACAAATGGTATCAGAGCTAGACACCGGACAGTGTACCAGCGAGGACGTTGGGCCCCCAAAGAAGGTGAATTGTGAGATCTCACATTGGTTGGAGAGGAGAACGAAGCATTCCTTATAAGGGTATGGAAACCTTCCTTGTTGACACGTTTTAAGATATTGAGGGGAAGCCCAGAAGGGAAAATCCAAAAAGGACAATATCTGCTAACGGTGGGTTTGGGGTGTTACAATGCACCTCGTCAAAGTTTTTAAAGATTTTTATAATTGTCCTAGACCTTATTCTCGTTGAATTTCTTTCTCTACGTTTGATTGTTTATATTATAGCTGAAGGCACTCATTAAAAAGGATCAGAACATACCTTGCTGCCAATGCAGCAGTTATGGCTGCATCATTTGCAGGAGATGGTCGTGGTTTTTGACGATAATAACGTATAAATTGCCTGGAACCAAGCGTTTTGGTCGATTGCCGATCGGTAGTTCTTTGAGCTAAGATGAGCTCAGCTCCACCACTACCAAGCTGAACAGAATTGGCCCCATCCCCTGATGCTACTAGCTGGTTGCCACTTCCATCCACGTAACTACATGACAACACCATAGAAAATGAGAAGCAACTCAACTCAGGAACCGTGTTATTTAAAGCTATGAGGACTGTAAATTCAAGAAACAAAATGATGAGCACCTGCTACTGTAGTCAAAAAATTCTTCCAATTCTACTTCTTCGTTCTCGTCTCCATCGCCATAATGCACTTTGCAATGGCTTTTCGCTTCCATATGCTTCCTAACAGCTTCCAAGCTGCTAAAAGGAAGACGATTATCGTTGCAGTACAGACACCTGAAATCCCTCATCACCTGGAACAACATGAAAGAAAAGTAAATCGACTTCTGATTTTCTTGAGCAAAAAGAAAACTGAGAAAAGGGTATATCTCGTTTTGGCACCTTCAGACCGAGGTATGTAAGGAAGCCATTCGGATCCTTCAAATATTCAACATCAGGAATAAAGAATCCATGTTGTTTATGCATGTGAACCATGCAGCTATCGATGGTATCATGCTCTAAATCACACATGAAGCAGCACGATGGATCCAAGTCCACCTCAATGGCATCAGAATCATTGTCTTCACCCTCATCGTCATTCTCATCGATCATGTCTTCGTCAGAATCAGCTTCTTCCCACTCCTCACTCTCTTCCTCATTTTGTTGGGGCACCCTATTAGAAATTCTCTGAGGAAGGGGCTTAATTATTGGCTTTTCAACTTCTTGATCATGTGTTCCTTGTGAAGCTCGGATGATGTGACTCTTGGATTTAAGATGTTGGGCATGAGCCTGGGCACTCCTATAAGCTTTGCTACAAAGGCCACAAGAGTATGACATTGCGGTCTCTGATTTGGCATTCTCTTGTGCAGCAGCAGCAGATTGTCTAGCTAAGAATAATGCCTCTGTAACCCCAGGAACATTAGCCACCTGGTTTGTTCACAAGATAATTACATAAATGATACAAGAAAGGTGGGTTCTCAAATCCTTCCAAAACACTGTGGCATTGGCATCCTATATACATTCAACAGAATGAAATCTAATGAGTTTTTCTATAGAACTGCTTAACAACCACAGAGAGACTAATTGGAGTCACAAACTATTATTCCCTCTAAGGAGTCCGTGTTCCTGTGTTCATCATATGAACCCTAAAAACAACATCCGAAATTTTAACAAATTCCTTGAAAAACTTAAACCCGTTTAAGGCAATTTCCTGACACTGTATGAGCATGCAACAGCAGCTAAGGGCACCGGAATTCAAAAACTAACCATCTCAAAACACGAATAGTGCTTTAGAACAATCATTTCAGCTGATCTTCATAACAAAAGGAGTAATGATCGGTAAAATCTACCCCGAAATACAACATATCAAATATTCGCACCTAGATTTTTAACCAAAAAAAGAAAAAGAACAAGACGAATGCTAGCGAGCAAATTGAAATAATCAGGCAAAAATCGTAGTTCCGGAAGCAAGAACCATCACCCGAACATAAATGAACATAAAATTAGAAAATAAACCTAACCGACAGACCTCAATTATAAGCATGACACAGAGAGAGAGAGATAGAAGGAGGACCTTGCGCTTGAGATTGTACCGATGCCATTCGGATTTGTAGTGAAGCTTTTGCTCCTCGGTGTCTATAAATTCTTTGTTACAGGCATTGCAGGTAAGCCCCGGCATCTTCTCTCTGACACTAATTCTTCTCCGCGATTCTGATTCCGACTTCAATCGATTCTGAGAACGAAACAATCAACCAACAATTGAGAGAGGGAGAAGAAAAACGATATTCAGAGGCGGTTTGAAGATAAATAAGAAGAAGGTGTCGCAGAGAAAGAAGCAAACGTTGCCGACGGCTCGTGGCTCTGAACAGACGCATGCTATTGCGTCACCCGTTATGGGCCGTCTTTGGGCCTTCGAACATTGGGCCCTAATTTGGGCCTACGGGCCTCTATTTTGGAGGCTTGCAGCCCACTTACGTGAAAACTTGGCCCAGTTACTCTGTGATTGGTAGATGTCCTTTCACTTCCCATGATTTCTTTTTGGGAAATTACCTTTTATTTTTATTTTTTTGGGAAATTACCATTTGATCCTAAAATCTCAAAAATAAAATAAATAAATAAAAATAAAAAGCTCCTTATATTAATTTTATCTATTTGCTAGTAAATTATTTAGACTAAAATTATATATTAAAAATTAGTTAGATCGAAAAATATAGAGTACAGGAATATTCACATGTTATCCATCGACTACACCTCTCGTTCTGATCTTAGGCCCTGATTCACCTTCAGTGGACGAACCTTGCGAAGGAACCCTTAGGTTTTCGGGGCATTGGATTCTCACCAATGTTTGCGTTACTCAAGCCGACATTCTCGCTTTCGCTTCGTCCACCACTGCTCGCGTGGGTGCTTCCCTCTAAGGCGGAACGCTCCCCTGCCGGTAAAAAATAACTACAAGTTAATCAAAAGAACAAGTTTGTTTTCAGATTTAGATTTTTGGAAATTGGGCTTATGGTTGTCCAAAGTAAAAATTATGTCAACTTTGTTCCCGTAGGATTTTAAGAAGCACGGGTCATAAATAACGATGAGTAAATCAAAAGAACAAGTTTGTCTCGAGATTTAGGTTTTCGTAAATTGGGTTTACGATCTTCCAAAGTAAAAACCATGTCAACTTCGTTCCGGTAGGCTTTTGAGAAGCCGGGGTCATAAACAACAACGAGTTAATCAAAAGAGCACGTTTGTCTCGGGATTTAGGTTTTCGTAAATTGGTCTTACGGCTTTCCAATGTAAAAATTAAGTCAATTTCGTTTTGATAGGCCTCCGAGAAGCAAGATAAATTAATGAAATTCTAAGAAATAGTATAAAGAGTCAGATGGATATAAGGTAGAGATGTCTACAAGGTGAGAGCTTTCTCCATCCCGTCCCGTGGAATTCCGACCAAATTTTTTTTTTTCATCTTCCCATATATTTATATATATATTTTTTTAAAAAACAATAGACAATTTCTATTTTTTTAATATAATTTATAGAATAACTAATAAATAAAAATATAATATAATGTCGGAAATTAATTTTTTTAAAAATAAAATAAAAAAAAATATCATAATTATCTTTAAAAGCTAAATTGTGAATTATTCATAAAATAATATAACTTAAAATTTAAATTTTGGGATAATCGGTATTAATATAAAAGAGTGGTGATTTCAGCAACACCTGAAACAGCGGGATTTACGGACAAGTATGATCGAGCAGTATCAGACTCGTACTCTGCAAGTTCAAGGGGTTCAATAACGCCATGATCGATACTTTCGACTGAATCTCACAGCCAAACCAAGTGCACATGGCGCTGCCGATGGACAAACCGCCGTAGGACGAAAGGCAGCCACCGCATCACCGCCGGAAAAGGCCTCAGTGATCAAATGTCGCATTTGTGTTTACAGGCTTCAAGGTTCTTCGATTCTTCATATATCTGTTTGTATGTTGTGACATGGAGAAATCGGCGAGAAAATACAAAAAGAAACTAACAATCAGGTCCCGGAATCATTTAAACATGGCGATGCACTTCTAATTTAATACTACTTTTTCGCTCTGTTCGTCTTGTAGAATTCTGTCTCTGTGTGGAGTTCGAGAATCCGAAGTTTCTACAGTTGCGGAGGTTTGGTATTCGAACCTTTGATTTGTTGCGGTAAAGTTGATTCCATTATTGTTTCGTTCTTTTGTGGTTCTACTTTCGCTTACTTTTTCTTTATTGACGTCTGTCGATATTTGTGCTAATGTTTTTTCTTTCTTTGCTTTGGCCTGTTGGTGCTTCCTTGCACGATAAGAAATCCTCCATTCCAGAAGCTTTCTAGTCTTGTGCCCTATGCCCTACCTTTTTTTCGCATCCAAGTTGCTTGTGATAAACCGAACTCGCTTTCAATTTCATCAGTTTGATCGGTTTGTTTTTCTTCCATGGTTCTTTCTGTCAGTAATTGATATGGAATCGTTGAAATTTTTAGCTGTTCGGGGACTTTTTCTTGTTCTGCTGCTCTCTTCTGCGGCGGTGAGTTCAGTAATTGGAATCGGAGTGAACTGGGGAACTCAATCTACTCATCCTTTGCCGCCGGCTACGGTGGTGAAGTTGCTGAAGGATAACGGCATTCAGAAGGTTAAGCTTTTTGACGCCGATCCTGTAGTTCTAAACGCTTTAGCCAAGTCAGGAATTGAAGTGATGGTAGGAATTCCAAACGATATGCTCTATAGCTTGGCGAATAGCATCCAAGCCGCTGAAAATTGGGTTGCCAAAAACTTGTCGTCTTATATTTCGTCCACAAGTGTCGATATAAGGTAAAGACAAACAATGAACAATCTCTCTCCAATCTATCTTTAGACTTTATCTGATTCAATTCAACAACTGCTGATGTGTTTGTGAGATTGTTTTCTTGCTTGAAATCTGCTTTTGTTGGCTGTTTCTCCTGAATTTGCTGCAAGAAACCATGGAATTCGCTTGAGTTTTGTTCCTTTGAATTATTGACCTGTGATTTGTCTCATTCAGATGGAGGATTCTCACTTTTGACTACTTATGTTGTGCAAGGTATGTTGCAGTTGGGAATGAACCGTTCTTGAAGACCTTCAATGGAAGCTTCCTTGGAACTACTTTTCCTGCTCTTCAAAATGTTCAAGCTGCCATTGTCAAGGCTGGTTTAAGCACTAGGGTTAAAGTGACAGTGCCTATGAATGCTGATGTTTATCAGAGTCTAACAACAGTACCTTCTGGTGGTGACTTTCGTTCTGATATCCATGACCTTATGCTTTCCATTGTCAAATTCTTGAGTGACAGTGAATCCCCTTTTACTGTCAATATCTACCCCTTCATTAGCCTTTATGCAGATCCCAATTTCCCTATTGACTACGCCTTCTTCGATGGCTTCTCCCAAGCTTTGGATGATAACGGTCGAGTCTACGACAATGTGTTTACTGCAAACTACGACACCCTTGTTTCATCTTTGCAGAAAAATGGCTTCCCTAACATGTCCATAATAGTTGGGGAGATTGGATGGCCAACAGATGGAGACCGGAATGCAAATTTGCAGTTTGCCAAGAGGTTCAGCCAAGGCTTCCTCTCGCGCTTCGTTTCGGGACAGGGAACGCCAATGAGGCCTGGTCCTATCGATGCATACTTGTTTAGTCTTATTGACGAAGACGCCAAGAGCATTCAGCCAGGCAATTTCGAACGTCATTGGGGTCTGTTTTACTACGACGGTCGGCCTAAATACATGCTTCAAATGGCAAACGGCACACGTAGTTTAGTACCCGCATCAAATGTCAAGTATCAAGCAAAACAATGGTGTGTCCTGTCCCCATCAGCCAGCCTCGACGATCCACAAATTGCCCCAAGCGTTAGCTACGCTTGCGAAAACAGCGATTGCACGAGCCTTGGCTTCCAGACATCATGTGGGGCGCTAGACGCTCGGCAAAACATCTCTTATGCATTCAACAGCTACTACCAGATAAAGAATCAGGTGGCAAGTTCCTGTAAGTTTCCTCATCTCTCTGTTATTTCAACTCAAGATCCATCAGTTGGAAGTTGCAGGTTCATTGTGATGACACAGCCTTCTGAAGTTGCTGTGAATGAAAAATCAAAGGCTCTGAGGTATTCTGCTGGATCATTGCTGTTGTTTCTCTGTTTTTTCATTCTGGCACTTCTGTGATCAAAATCTACAGAGATTCCTCCATCTCTTTGATTTATATATGTTTATGCAGTCAAAATCTGTAAGTTTATATTTTGAGTTGTAATTTTACATTGAAAAAATCGATCAATCTCCAAAATATGGCTTTTAAAAATATATTAGATGAACAAAATTTTGAGTTTCATTTGTTGTTGCTGCTTTTTTTGGTGCATATTCCTAATTAGAATGAATCTATATGAAGTAAAGCATGTGAAGAAAGATTTGGAGTTACAATCATGAAAACAATTGTATTTAATCAACCATAAGTATATCAAAATTTTATTTTATTTTTTCTTCCATGAAGGGAGAAAAGAGGCAACAGAAAGCCAATTTCGAAAATCGACATACACATTACTCGTGACATCCTAAGGAGCGATCCTTTGTGGGTCACGAGGGAACAACGAGGTTTTGCGGATGTTATTCAAACCACAGAAAAGCATCACGACACGCTCCAAACCTACTCCGAATCCACCATGAGGAGGAGCACCATATCTGTAACGAAAGCATTCAAGTGAAGAACTCGACATTCACAAATTGAACCTCGCTTACACGGTTAAATTTCAACTTTGAGTAAAGGGAAAACCAATAGGACAGAATGCAGAGAAGTCGTGATAAGGGAAACGTACCTGAATGAATCGATGTATGTTTCTATGGTTTTTACATCGATCCCACATGCTTGTGCACGTTCGGCCAGAAATTCAGGTACATGAACACGCTGAGCCCCGGAAATGATTTCTTCCCCTACGTCGACAACAAAGTTTCAAGTTAATATAGAACGAATACATAATCCAAATCTTAGTGCTAAGAACAGGCAAGAAACGAATAGAGATGAAACAATAAAATGTATACCTCTAATGAAGACGTCGAATGAGTTACTATAAGTTGGATTATCATAGCAAGGCATAGTATAGAATGGCCTAACAGCCAAAGGATATCGGTGAAGAATGTAGAACTCTGTGCCATATCTATAATTACGAAAGTTCAATCAGCGAGCAATCTAAAGATATATAGTCATTTACAAAAAACGTAACGAAGAAAGCAGCAGGGGCACGACTTACTTCTCTAAGACGAGCTGTCCCAATTTCCTCTCGGCCTCTGTATTAAGATCCCCAAGAGGATCAATCTCGACACCGGCATCCTGACGAGATTCATACATAACAAAGAACAAAATATCACGACGTTTCGAACTTGCATCGTGTTCCTTACTCAAAAAAGAAAAGGAAAACTTTGACCCCTCACCTTCAGCATCTGAATTCCTTCCTCAAACGTAAGTCGTAGAGTGTTTCGTAAGTACTGCATATTCATGAACTCGGATCAAAGATCGAAATGAGAAGAAATCATTCAAATATTCTAACTTGGGCATAATTCGAAACCATAAGAATTTCGAACACTTCGGCACTACGAAGATTTCTAGGAAGTAGGTAATTAATAAAGAAGTTCACCTTCAACGGTTCGAAAGGATACTGTCTATCAATAGCTTCAAGCTCCTTCTTACAGTTTTCATTCAAACTGTCAAACATTTTGACAAACAAACGGTCCACGATGTTCATGACCTTCACAAAAAAAGAAGAAATAAATCAGACGAAGTATCAAATAAAGATGGCCATGATAAATAAATAGTCAAGATAGAGTGTGAGATCCCACATCGGTTGGGGAGAAGAATGAAGAATTCTTTACAAGGGTAACCTCTCCCTGGCAGACGCGTTTTAAAAACCTTAAAAAAAAGCCCAAAGAGGACAATATCTGCTAACGGTGGACTTGGGTCATTATAGTTGGTATCAGAGTCAGACATTGGGCAATGTGCCAGTGGGGAGGCTAAGTCCCGAAGGAGTATGGAAACGAGGTGTGCCAGTGAGGAGGCTAAGCCTCGAAGGGGTGAACACGAGGCAATGTGCCAGCAAGGACGTTGTGCCCCGAAGAAGATGGATTGGGGCGTCCTACATCGATTGGAGAAGAGAACGAGTGCCAGAGAGGACGCTGGCCCTGAAGGGGGTGGATTGTGAGATCCCATATTAGTTGGGGAGTAGCACGAAGCATTCTTCATAAGGGTGTGGAAACCTCTCCCTAACCGACACGTTTTAAAATCCTTGAGGGAAAGTCCAAAAGAGAAAGCCCAAAGAGGACAATATCTATTAACGGTGGGCTTGGATCGTTACATAGAGCATTACCTCAGAATAATGAGTTTTGATCTCCATTTCAACATCAAGTCCTGTAAACTCACACAGATGCCTATGTGTGTAAGAATCCTCCGCTCTGAAAACAGGACCGATCTCAAATACACGCCCAAAGTCGCCACAGATAGCCATTTGCTTATGTAGCTGCGGCGACTGCGCCAGACAAGCGGGCTGGCCTTTGTAATCCAACCTAAAAACAGAAGCACCACCTTCACTGGAGCCCCCAATCAACTTTGGAGTATGGATTTCAACAAAACCTTCAGACAACAGAAATTGTCTAAATATCTGCAATATTAGAATTTATTCATATGACCAAGTTTCTTTAAACAAAATCAGCAAACAATAAGGGTGAAGAGCATCAGGCTACAATTATTAATAATGAGGCCACAAAAAAAGTCTACCAGTAAAGAATTTATACTTCCTAAACATGGCCAATGAACTATGCAATGTTTTAAAATGCTTAAGGCTGCTTCTAGGCTTTCCCTCGTGGACAAGTAAGGCGTATGCTCGTCGTGAACAAAAAGTATAAAAACGTGGCACCTTATAATCATAATGTTATGATACTTAAAATCAACAAGAAAATTTTCAATTATCCATATATCATGAGATGTAACTTAAAGTTTAAAATTTAAAATTTTTAGAATTTTCATTATGCAGTGAGGCCGATGTCTTCGATGCCTTTTAAGGCCTAAGCATGGAGGCATGCGCCTCAGCATCAGAGGCATAAGACTAGAGGCACATCACAACTGTGCCTTGCCTCGAGGTACGCCCCAACTGATTTTGAAAACATTAGAACTACGCAACGGGAATCAAGCTGGCTGACGGTGGTAGATACAGTTAACATAATCAATTTTGAATGAAGGTTGTGTGCTTCAATTTCGTATCGTAACACATCAACTTAGAACAACAATTAAATGAACAAGAAGATAGAAAATAAGAAAGAAAACTCACAGCTCCAACTTGACATTGAATTCGAAAAATTCCTTGGTTAGCGGGAGTTCGTATGTCGAGGACTCTGTAGTTCAACCGTGTATCCTGGTTAACACGTACTAGTTGCTCACCAGCCTGCGAGCAAAAAGTCTCGTATCAAAAAGGATGTCTACAGATCATTTCTTGAATTTCAAATTCATTACAAAGAACAACAAACATTAGACAATCAAGCACAATGAGGATTACATCAAAAGAAAAGCAAAAACAAAACATACCTGCAACGCTTTCTCAATTTCAGCTTCACTACGAGCAGCGTCCTCAATATTTATAGGCAGAGTAGGCATTGCCTTACTGATGCAATATACTTTCCTTACTTGAATCTCCACCTGCTGTGTAGCTCCTTTGATGGCAACATTGGGCACAGACACAACTCCTTCAACGTCAACAATAGACTCACGGCTCAATCCAACGACGTACTTAACCATCTGGCGACTGACAAGCTCGGGCTGCTCTGACACAACGCATTGCACAGTGAATCCCTTTTCTCTCACTACCAAAAATGCCATCTTCTTGGCAACAGCACGAATCGTCTGAACTCGTCCACGCAACAGCACATACTTATCTTTAAGCTCCCCTGTCAAAGAGCCAACCTGAGTCCAATTCTCGATATTCTTAGCCTCTTTGGATTGGAGGTTGGAGAGTGGAACATCGCCATAGTTAGCCGATAGCGGGTCGTCCTCAACATCAAGAGACGAAATGGCAACTTCAGCAGCTGCTTCCTGGCGACGACGCAACTTCTCCTGCTTAGCAGCCTCCTTCTTAGCAGCCTTCTTGCTGACGCCGGCAGAGAGCGACTCATCCATGGGAGTTTCAGATGAAGCGGACATGTTGCAGAGAGCGGGTTGTAGGAGTAGAATTGAGGAATGAGATATGGAAATTTGGACTCCACACTCAGAGAATCTTTGCAAATTTAAAAAAAAAATGCATGGATTCATTCTCTTATTTCCATAAATTCAAAGTACCATGGAACCTAACAAATCTTTTACATAAAAATGTCTGGATTCATGCTGTCTTTTCCATAAATTCAAAGCATCATCGATCATTCAATTGATTGATTTAAGGACAGAATTTCACTAAAAAAAGAAGGAAAAAAAAAACTCATCGTCTTCTACGAACTATAATCTACAAATATACAAGGCCAATCAATCAAGCAAAGAATTAAAAGAGAATAGGATGACGGATTCATGTCCGAATCAGAACAGTCAAACACAAACCACGTCCCAATTTTGCCGCATGGCTGTTTCTTTTTGGTTGGGATTCGGCTATTGTTAATTAAGCCAAAAAACAGATCAAAAAACTCCTCCATTCTTCCATTAGACAAGTTATAATTTCCGTGTTTTCAAGTGAGAAGAAATACATATATGGAATTTGGAAGAATAGCATAAACAACAAGGGAGTAAAAAAATCAGCGCAGTACCGCTAGGGAAGCCTTCAGCGGCACGAGCGGTAGAAAGAAGACCGCGGCGACGGCAGTAAACGGGAGAGAGGCGGCGGCGGAAATGAACAGAGGAGACGGCGTGAAAAAATAAGAAGTGGCGCGGAGGAATGATAAATGAGTGGGGAACTTCTCTTTTTATTTCTCACTATTTTAGTGCTATTTTTTTAAAAATATTTGAAAATTATTAATAAATTTAAATATAGATTAATTTTATATTTTATTTAGTGAAATTAATTTATCAACCCATAATAATTTACAACCACTAATATAACTTTCATTTATAATAACACACCCATTAATATTGTTTATATTAAATTAAGTTAAATTTAAAAAAAAATTCATAAAAAATAATAAACTAACAATAAATGAAAAATTTTGTGGTGATTCTAAAGGTTCTAAATTAAACTTTTTTTTTTAAATTTATTTGGATAACAACCAATAATGAAAAGAAAATATAGCATTTTATTTTGCAATTTGCACGAGATAATTTAATTAATAACAATAAATTGTAATGTCAAATATGTAATATTTTGTTATCATAAATAACAATAATTAATTAATTAATAGATAAATAAATAAAAACCTGACAGAAGCTAAGACAACAGCTGCCAAAAATCACAACTTCAAACTCAAAATTTTTCTCGAGGCTTATTGTGCGATAAAAGTCAAGATTAGGCTTAAACGGATTCTTGGTTATGTGATTTAAAATGTTGTAAAAGAAACCGAAATGAAATATGAACCCTAGTTTGAGTTATCAGGTAAGGAACATGGAAGGAAATAATAGAAAATATAAGGTTGTCCTGAAGTCGAAGATGCGTGAGCATGTGGCCTTCACGCCCACGAGGAGGAGTGAGGCATGTGGGTCAACACATATAGTGCACGTGTGGGCTTGTACAGGCTTGCGTTTCAAGTTCTGGTCATCTATTCGACTCCTTTTGACCTATTTTATTAAATATTAACCTATACTCATCTAGAATCGTAAAAATTGATCATAAACTACTTATATTTCAAACATTCACAAAATTTCTTAAAATTTAGGGTCTCAAATTAACACATTCATCAATGGAAACAAGAAAATTTCAGATAACTAATGAACCAGTGTAATTTAGAACTCCTATGAACACAAAAAATGAAGGAAATATAATACCTTTGCACTGGTAGAATGGCCTTCAAGATGCAGTTTCCTGTTTATTTAGCTTCAATTGTTCATCAATGTTCATCAATGTTCATCAATGTTCATCATCTGAATCAGCCACAACAGCAGAATGAAGGGCAGCGTTGAGAACTGGCCTTTGTCTGAGCCTACTTTTGGCACCTCCCTTACCATTTTGATTACTAAGATGGTTCCTGCTTCTATCCACTCTCTTACTGCATGCCCTTTTGACATCGGTCGCTACTTTGGAGTGAAGCGTTTCATTCTTCTCTTCTGCCTCGGAATAATCTGAATCAGAATCGTCATTGTTGTCGTCTTTGTCTTCACAGTCATTGTTTTCGGTGTCATCGACACTGTCGTGATCGACTTCTTTATGCGAGTTACTTCCACCACTGTCATCGTTGTTGCTGCACTCGCTGCTATTTCCAGAGGCATCCTCTGATTTCATCCTTGTTTCAGGATTCTCACTAGTGGAAACATCTTTTCTACTGCGCCTGTGATGCATCATCCCTTGCTCTTTTTCATCGGTTGTTTCCTCGTTCCTGAAAAGAAATTCAAATTTGTTAAACCTATGGTATTGTTTTGAATGTAAATAAGGTATGCAGCAGATTATGTTGAAGATAACAGTTCATTTTTATGATACTATCCAGGATATGCCCTTGGCTTCCAAAATACAAACTACAGGGGTGAGTTCATACAATCGTCCTGCTTGCAATTGGCCGTCCTATTCGCACCGTTGAAACTCGAAAGCAATTATACATACATACATACATTACATATAGCAAAGGTCCGAGGTTCAATCTCCCATCCCCTCGACATTTGTTGTACTAAAAAAATATCGACCGGATATTATGTATGAGTGCCTCTTTCAAATCAAATGGTCCATTGAATTAATCTACCAAAAAAAAAATGTACACACTGTCCTCCATATCTGATCTCTAATTGAATATAGAATCGAAATTCCATCAAGTATACAATTGGGAACAGCTTCCTATGCCATCAAGTACATATAACCCGAACCAACCTACGTCTTAGACAATCCGTTCAAACCAAATAAACGAGCACACTGTTTAGAATTACAAATCTATTTTGTCAAATAACCGAAACTACGCTGCTAAACAAGCAAAGATGGATGGGCATGAAACTTCACAATAGTTATAGATACAGAATCACCTAAATAATGGTGTTTTATTCCATGTTTAGTCCATGATGCTGTCTTTTTCTTAACAGGTAGTTGCAATACAACAAAACTAAATGCCAAAAAGATCATTCTATAGTTATAAATAAATCTAAAAGGCAGTAAATCTAAAAAATAATAATAATCATAATAAAAAGTGTGCGTGAGGGAGAAGAAAAATGTTTACCCAGATAGCCGTATGGCATCATCAATAGCCCGATTGTACTCCTCTGCACAGCATTTCAAAAATCAATGCGCTATTAGGAGGTGATAAAGGATACAAACATTGTGGCAATACAAATGAACGGGATTTCGAACATCCAACACATATTCACAAAATTTTCAGTTCAGAACAATATAATTCCCATCAACAAAAGGCCAGTCTGTTTAATCAATTGTTAAGAGAGATTAATATCACAAAATTATAATTCAACTCCAACTCAGTCGTCCTGATCTACATAATATATGGGTGACAAAATATCACTCTTCTAACGTCCAACTCTGATCTACATAATATATGGGTAACAAAATTTTTAGTTTTGTTGGTTGTTTGGGTTGTTTTTCTTTCTGTCTTTTTTTTTTTTTTTTTTTTTTTTTTTC